CGGTGACGCGGATGTGATGCACTGGGGGTAGTTCTGGGCACCGTCGGGCTGGCCGGAGGCGTGGAGATCATAATCTCGTGGCGCAGGACGTAGTCACCGGCGGCGAGGGTGGCGGGGATCTTGACGAGCCAGCCGTTGCCCTGCTCGATCAGGACGTCAGAGGCCCAGGTGCCGGAGGAGCCGGCACCGGAGATGAGGCCGACCTCGGCGATCTTGAAGAACTCGAGCGAGGCCTTGTCGACGGTGGTGCAGTCACCGCTGCCGCACGAGGCGAGGTAGTCGATGACGGGACCCTTGTGGGACTCGGGCCAGGTGTCCCACTGGAGGAAGATCTCGCCACCGGCGGCGACGACGGCGGTGCCCTCGGCGTTGGTGGCGCCGCGGTGGCAGGCAATGTCGCCGGTGCCGAAGGCGGAGGGGGCGACGAAGCCGTTGTCCAGGGCGGTGGTGGACCAGCCGACGAGGGGAGCGTGGTTGGCGTTGTAGGCGTTGGACAGGCCGAAAGCCTCGTACTGGGTGCCGTCGGCGATGATGCTCTCGACGTGGCCGTGGGCCATGACGGAGGCGGCGCCAGCAACGGCGGAGAGGAGAGCGTTGGTCTTGAAGGAAGGCATTTTTGCAGAAAGGTTTCCAAAAGTTGGGAGTTGGTGGTGTGGTTGGTGTTTTGGTAGATGGAGTTGATAGTTGAAGATGCCGCTGGCAGAAAGAATGTGAATACTTCAGTCAATGAAGTTCAAAAGAATGAATGTGCAAGAGAAGAAGGAATGATCCCGTTGCGAAAAAAAGAGAATGTAGTAATGAAAAACTGCGATTGAAAGCCTGGTGAAGAGAGAGGAGAAGAGAAAAGCCGTTGGAGAGTGGTGAGATCGAGTCCTTATATCCCATCATGAGCAAACCTGGACGTGGGGACATGCCGACCCATTCCTTCTGCTATCCTTCTGGCTCATCTGCTGTGCCACCGGCTGAGCTACGTTGGTGTCATCACCCCACGGACGACAGGTGCCATGAGGAGACGGCGTTGTTGATGGTCCTTCCCCTGTCATCTTCGGGATCTGGCGCCAGATGCGTCCATGATTCCAGTCCAGACCCATGCGCGTGAGCGTGAGCGCGGCTCCCCTGCAGGGAGTTCTGAGCACATCAGCACGGGGTGATGGGGCTTTGAGCGGCAGCCGATTGGCGCAGGGCGACGGAAAAAGTGCAAACAGACTGGCAAAATGCCCACCAGACCGGCCGCATGGCCGAGGATTCTCATGCTGTTTCATCGCAAATGAAGCGCGCGCTGGGCAAGCGAGCCGGCCTTGGTCGCAGCGGCAGGGTCAGGGATCAGGCGAGCGCCAGCTAGCGACCTCTGGATGCGTACGAAAGAGGGGCCGATGAAGAGGCCCAGGAGCAGGTAAGGCTTGGCAGGGGAAGCAAAGCAGGGGTGAAGAGGGGCCCGGCTGGGCTGGACTGGGCTGATCGCTTTCTTTTCGCACTGCATTCACGAGATCAGACGAACAACCATGATTTTCGCTCCCGCTCGGCCGCCGTTTTCTGTCCTGCTGGATGGGCTGATCAGGCCCCACGAGAACGAGCGGTGATGCGCAAATGCTCAGACGCGGCCATTGTCCAAGCTGCCAGCGTCACATCAGGCGCTCTTCCCGGGTTGGCAAATGCGAGGGACCCGGCGATGCCATGCGATCAAATCGTACCAGACTGCACAGCTCCACGATGGAACGGCGGCCCATGCCGAATAGAGCTTGGTCGCCGGGCTGGCTGTGGTGCACTGGAGGCTGGGCGGACGGGGGTCGGCGACGCTGGCGGCATGAAGCAGATGAGAAAGGCGAGGAGAAGGAAGGAAACTGGTGGGGAGAGGTGGCGTCTGTGACAGTGACAGCCTGACGCCGTTGGGGCTAACGCCTTGGACACAGCGATGTTTGGAGGTCGAGGTCGAGGTCAGGGGGTTGTTCTTGGGTTGGGCACTCTATTCCAGGCGGACTGGCCGTCATAAACATCAATTGTTGGTCTGCCGTGTTGACTTAATCTACTGTAAAGACAACGGCTGCGGGGTTTTCGCAGGCTTCCCGTCTGTTCAAGCTTCCGAGGTATTGTCCAGCCATCGTGCTACTCCATACACCCATGAGTATAGTGACGGCGCTATGAAAGAAGCTTACTTGGATAGTAGGCCATGTGGTCGTATAGCCCCTTGGGAAAATCCCAGAAAATCCGAGAAAATCCTAGCAGTCCCATCGACCACGCCTGTATCAGAGTCCCGCTCTCTAAGGGGTAGACGCTCGAAGCGGGCTGACGAGAATAATGACCAATAAAAGATCCCCTTCAATCGATATACCCAATCCTATTCGCTCCAATAGTCCCAAGCTCGAGCCGCTGCTCTCCTGAAACAGGGGACGGGGGAGGGCGTCTTTGGCCACCCCCTCCCCGTACTGACTCAATTTACCTGCAACTCGCGGCGGCCTCGTCTATCCCTACCTAGTGCCCAGAGCCCGATGCATAGCTCCACCTCAATTTCGCACTAAATAATGACGTCGATCGGGTTGCCCTACCGAGATTGTAGCCCAGGCGCTAGCCGCCGCTGTCAAACACTGCAATCCTTTCTTTGCCTTCTGTCTGATCCTTCTGCAGTGTAAGCTGTCTCACAAGGTGGTCATCATCATGTCTTCTCCTGACACCGTTGGCTCTGCCAGCATGTCTGCTCAGGGTAACTTGCGGTAATCGAGCCGACAACGCCGTACTGTCGATGCCCATGGGGTCCGGCCCTTGACTTCCCTGCGAGCCTCGGCTTGATTGCGCGTCTCCTGGTCCCTGGGGCCTCGCTCTCGGTCCTCTTGCCTGCCTCTTGTATATTGCCCTCCACCAGAAAAGCCTCTCGGCAGACGGCTCTTGACCCGCCTCCGAAATGTCGGCTGCTGGGCGTTCTTGGTCGTGGACAGCAGCGGTACAGCTCCTATGACTATGAAATCCCCCACGTCGCCCCCCCCCCCGTTTGTGTCCTTGATTCTTCTTCTTCTGCCGTCTTCAATGAAAGCTGAGCCTCGCAAGTGCCGGCATGCTTACTCTGTGGACACGGACCAAATCACGGATCTATAGGTGCGAAGTTGAAGCTACGCGAAAAGTCTCCACAGGTTGTCATTTGGTACCGAGCTGTAGCACCCATCGAGCATCTCCCGCTGTCCGTGGACTGATGCTGCGTTGATCTGGAGAGACATTCGGGATCACTGTCGTGGCAGTTACATCGGGACTTGTGCGATCATAAGACGTGTGGTATAGGTGTTGGCTGATCCGATGTCGCTCTACTCCACACAGCCAGTCGATCAGGGAGCGGCCGCATGTCACCACAGCCATTCATGCGACGACAATTGCGCATTGATGTTGGACCGCACAAGATGGGGACACTCTCGTCAAATATTCGATTTTGGCGAGGATGTGGCGTTTTCAGGGTTCCTAGCAATTTTGACCGTCTAGTCAAATCCGCACACCGCTGTCTCAGATGGAAAGATGATAAAGATGTGCATTTCAACTCAATGCCTGGTCCTGAGACGCTCGTTGTAGCCGTCTTGCCGTCAGTGAGACCAGCAGATCGACGGATGAGTAATCACGCATGCTGATGTTTGTCTCGGCAAGTTCCATCTCGACAAGGTGGCCAACCCGTGTGAAGGAACTTAAACATCATGGGGAAGAGTTTACAGTCCTCTTTTGAGCCTGGTTATCTCTGATATTCTTACCACGACGAGAGATCCATCAATGCGGTTATAGTGGTGACAGCATTCTGTATTCTGACGGAGTTGAGAGCCCATCTGAATGGTGAGATCGCACGAAGAGAAATGGCCGGGAGGTTGACATCTCAAACTTCTCCATTTTAAACTGATAAATTCATAACCTTGATGAACATTTAGCTTCGAAGGTTGAGGTTCAATGACATGGATCAGAAATTTCATGACATCTTTCTCCTTCCAGGTGCTGGTCGAGGCAACTTCACGGTCTTCCGAGGATCAAGAGTATTTGCGGTTCAAGACTGGGGAATATTCATCGAGAATCTTCCTGAATAGATGCTGTCACTGTTGCATGATAGGGCCTCGAACTGGTGAGGACGAATGTTGTCTTGGCCCCGTGACTACGCCTGAATCGTTGAATACACGTTATTACCGTAGTGGACAGGCGGGATGTCTTAAATAAGCCTTTCCAGTACCGAGGTTCCAGTAGATACACAATGTGCTGCTTTGGGACCTCATTCATCTACAAGGGGCTTGGTTTGGAGGACGCTGGTCCCGAAACCCGCGAGATACCTTGCCAGCAGAATGCGGATGATGCTGCGCGGAACCTCCTGACATGCATTGAAAGAATGCTCATGACCTCGTGCAGAAGCCTAGACTCTGGCTGCACCCTTGGACTCAGGATATGGCCTGACCTCTTCGTGTGCGTGATGTTTCAAAAATCATTTGTCGCTACAATGTTGGCGAACCTGTTCGAACAATTCTCGCAAGACCAAGGCTTACCGGAATAGAACTACGGGATGGTATCTTGGGATGCCTCCTCGCAGCTTATTGACTCTAAGTATTTCTGTTGCATGTGCGTCGGGATGATATATATTGACGCCTGGGCTCAACATACACGCCTTAAGATGAGCAGGTACTGGGTTTAACAGTCTCGCTCGCAAATTTCGATTTCTTTGAATTTTCACAATGTCCATTTCGCAAAAGCGTCGGGGTTTTCATCCTTGTCGGTGCTTCTGTCCACGTGTCGCATTAAGGAGCTCGACATGAACCATTTCATCAGCGTGCCGAACTCGCCACGCCATGTTCCTAAGCTCTGGCAACTGAGCAGGGCTTTTCCCGGCAAATCGACCAAAATACCGGGAACGGCGATGGTCGTGCCTCAATGATGAAGACTAGAGATTCACGAGATCGGAATTGAGTTCGAGCCAAAGACAATGTGGCCGGGCTTTGCAGGAAAGTCCTTCTGCAGATTGCCCAGGGAGTGGCAGCTTTGACGCAGTGCCAGGCGACTTTATGAGTGGATCTTTGAGTTGACAGGATAAACAACGACATGACTGGCGAAGATCCATCCCTGGTAGGAAAGCCCGCCGGCACGCAGACGAGTCGAATGGGGCGAGAAGCACGGCAACAGCATGACATGGTGCCCCAGGGCGGGAGCAAGACGAGGTATTGCGACACAGCACTGCCAATAATCTCAGAGCTGCATCTCCATTCTGTAGGGCTCAATTACTGATGTGCTCGAGTCTGTAGCGACAGGCTGCGAACTTGTAAAAGACCATGTCAGCCAGACATATAGCCCCTTGACACCATACAACACCATGTGACAATGCAGGCATACTTTCAACAAGTCTCGCCAAAGGCCGGAGGGTTGCACGCTTGCCCACTTCGTTTCGGCATTTCAATGCGCTTACATTTGAAGCTGGCCTGCTAGCTAATCCATACGTGGGCAGAGACCTTGTGCCGAAACCCGAAAGTTCTGCAGTGCCAAGCAGAAGACATCTAGTGCAGCTACCACGTCACCTACAAAGAGGGGCGGTCACCTCGCGTTGCAGTCCCATGGCATTCTCGTGGGCGCAGACGGACATCGAGACATGATCCTGAAGATCCAACAAAGACAACAGCGTGTGAGGGCGGAGTCAACCGTCAAGCGCCGTCAAGCGTCCAGGCGAGCACGCCAAACACCTCACTAGCGCATCATGCGCTTTTGCCAAATCTCCCAGAGACACTCCCCATCCGTTGACTCGCACGTAAATTTGGAGCGCACCACCGACAAACCAAGACCCGTCCGTGGCCCGTGACCCGGCGCTGCGAATCATCCCACCACACCGCGTGAGCCCGGCAGTGGGAGGGAACCCTCGACCGACTTTTTTCATTCCCTCCCTTCACTGCACAGCGGGCTGCCAATCAGGCTGTCGAGGGGGGGTCCAGGGTAGGCCCCGGCAGACGTCCCAATGCGCATGTAGCGGCGATCATCTAGCGACCTCACCTGGGTCTAGTCTCAGCGATGCGCGCCTGAAGCGTAATGACACCAAGAGGGTGACCCCCTTTCGGACGAGGAGACCAAGAAGAACAATCCCTTAAAGATGGGCTGAGCCCTCGCCAACGCGTTCGCGATGTCGTCGTGTATGTAAACGCTGAGACGTGCATGCCATTCCGCAGGCTTCGACGTCACCATGGATCGGCAGCGCGATTCTGCAATCTCGGGCTACACGAACGGCACGGCGTCGACAGACCCGGAAGCGGGCCGGCCTTCCAATGAGAGCACCGGCAACGCCCGAGGCGGCAAGGAGGCCACGGACAAGCTGTCGACTCACCAGTTCATCTACCTCTTTATCCTCGACGGGCTCGGCGCCCTCGTGCTTTCCGGTGGCATCAACTTTGCCATTGCCTATGGTGGGTCCCCTACTTCTTGCGGTTCTGCCGATGGGGGAGAGAAAAGACGAGAAAGAAATAGAAAAAAAAAGAGAAAAAAATTGACATCTTTAGCAATGTACACGACGCAAAATCTCACCAAGAACCCCATCCGTCTCTTCCAGCTGCCAAACACCCTCGCCGGCGACGCCGCCCTGACAATTGTCCTCCAGTGCGTCATCACGTGGCTCCTCGAAGCAGTCCTCGTGAACCGCGACTTGCGCAAAGGCGGGATCCGGCCGATCGGCTTCCTCGCCGAGCCGACGAGCGCATTACCCCGCTGGTTCCTGATGCTTGACAGCGACGAGCAGGGCTCGGAGGGCGAGAAGCCGTCGAAGGGCGGGCGCGTCAAGCGAGGCGCGGCGGAGCTGCGGCAGCAGGGGCCGCGGGTGTTGGTCATCATCCTGGCCAGTTTCGCGCTCTGCTGGCCGGCGTCTGTTGGCATCTTGCTTGCCGTGGGCGAGAAAAGGGGTGGAGACTGGTTCTTCGAGGCGACGTGGACGCCGCAAATCTTCAAGGGGGTGATGGGTGGGGTTTTGGCGCTGCTGACGACGCCGTTGATGGCGGGATATTGGCTCGTCAGGGAGGGCTGGAGGTTGAAGCGGGGAGGCGCACTGCTGACATGATGCGGCCGAGAAACACGACAAATGACCATGATGAAAAACATGCACAAACGAGAACGATAGATAGACACCACCCGCAAGGGATGTACTAGATTAATGCCGTACTTTGAATTCGGACGCCGGTGTGCCGGCTCATGCAGATGGCTAACGCTGCTGCTGGGAGGGTATAGGAAGCAACAACTCGTGGCCAACTTCAACAGGACTATACAACGAAACGTGCGAAAGAGTATACAACAGTGCTCAGGCAAGCTCGGTGGTCTTGCCCTCGGTGGCCAGGTCACCGCCCTTGCCGCCATAGGCCTGCGGCAGCTTCTCGCCGAGACCCTCGACGCTGGCATCGGCGAACTCCTTGGCGAGGCCGGAACCGTAGGTCATGGGGTGGAACTTCTTGGCCGTCTTGGTGGCGACAAAGAGCTTCATGAAGCCGTACATGAAGCCCATGATGGCAGGCACGTTGACGAAGAACTTTTCCTTGAGCAGCTCGGGGTAGTTCTGGGCAAGCACGGCGATGGTCTTGGTGCTCGCCGCCTTGACCTCGGCGGACTGGCGGAGGAAGGAGATGGACTGGTAGTCGTGGACCTGATAGATCTTGTAGGGATCTTCAGTCGCGGTGATGGGTTTGGTGGCGGCACCAATGTTGAGCGTCTGGATGCCGAGCTCCTGCAGGGCGACGCGCCACTCGATGAACCTGGGGCCGTGTGTCAGTCTTGTCTGTACCTTACATGAAAGAGGCCAACGAGGGGACGACGTACTCATCGAGGTTGCCAAACGTCTCGGACATGCGCTTGGCGGCAGCACCGTAGATGTTCCACGTGAACACCTCACGCTTCTGCTGGTCGGCGGCATCACCGTACGAGGTGACATAGCCAAGGCCAGCAAACTTGTCCTTGGAGAAGGCCTTGGTGACGAGCTCGAGGGGCTTTGCCTGCGCTCGCCACGTCAAGGTCTTGGTGAGCTGGTCAACAGCCTCGGGGACGTCACCATCGTTGGCGTTCAGGTACTTTTGGAAGACAATCTGCGAGGGGACATGGCTCTCGGGATCGGCAAGGGTGACGCCCCAGATCTCGGAGTGCGAGTGGGCTTTGGCAGCCGCCCACAGCTGCTGGATAGGAGAAGCTTTAGGGGCAGCAACTTCAGCGGGAGCCGACCCGGCTGCCTCGTCCTTCTTGGCCTCGGCCGCAGGAGCAGACGCTGACGTGGGCTCCTCGACCTTGGGAGCCGCAGCAGCAGGAACAGCACAGGCAGCAGCAGCAGCCTCGGGTGCGGGCGTCGGCTCAGCAGCAGGGGCAGAAGTCCCGGTGGAGACAGGGACGGGCTTCTCGTCCGCCGCAGGAACTGGAGCTGGCGCAGCAGGTGCCTCGGCAGTCGTAGATGGGGCCGTTTCGGCAGCAGGCTGCGTCTCCGCAGCGAGAGGAGCCTGGGGCTTGTTGTCGGCCATGTTGATGATGGTGATCTCTGTTGATTGATGAGTTGATGAGGAAAGACGAAAAAATAGGGCAAATGGTACGATGGGATGACAGACCACCTGTTCTCAATCAAGTGAGTTCGAGCTTCCAAAGGCTCGAGACATCAGGGTCCGTGTGCGGGGCTGCTATTGGCCGGGTACCTCGCCCGCGGATGGGCCCGCCGTAGTTGTCACATCACGTGGCTTAGCTCTGTACTTGGTATAGGTACCTACCTAGGCGCCTATCTCAGGTACATGGTGCTTGCGAGCGATTGTTGGGCACCTTCGTTGGTAGCATGCTCCTGTCGATGCTTAGGAAGCAATCTCGTGATATCAGGAACAAGGCAGCAGCCAGATCTGTTTTGTTTTAATTATGGCTCACGGCAACATAGTCTACGGAGCTGCCAATCCTCGCGCGGCATGTCGAACATTGGCACGGACAGCGGCCCAACGAACACCAGCAAGTAGCAGCATGACAAGTGGGATGGCCGGCAGCTGCAAAGGGGGGAGGGGGAGGAGGGGCCATCGAGCGATGATGGCAGACGGCAACGATGACTTCTCGCCCAAGACGCGACTCGGATCTCGCGCGCCTCGCATCCCCTCCATCACATCACCCTCACAAGGCCCAGGACGTCAAACGGTTGGATGAGGTGCCAAGTGACCTGACGCGACCCGCAAAAGGGAGTGGACGACGTTGTACCACCTGTCACCACTCGTTCCCGTTGCCTCCCTCACCCACTCACCCAGCCGCCGGAAGCCCAGACCCAGCGGCCCGGCCGTCTCAACGCGCCATGCTGTGCCCTTTGCCTCGCGACCGATCTTGTTCCCGCGGGGCGTGAGGACTGAGGCGGTACGACCTCATCGTGCGTGCTGCCTGCAGCAGCCATGGAGGGCAGGTCAGGAGAGAAGAAGCGAGAAGGAAAAGTGAGGGATGGGCGAGACAGCATGGCGGGAATCAAGGCCCCAGCGAGCATGTGCGCGCGCCAGTGGACAGAAACGATCAGGCACCTTCGGGCGCCGTTGCAGCGTGCGTCTCTTGGGTGTGTTTGGCGACTTGGGCGTGGTGAGCGCGAGGAGGCGGTCGATGGCCAATCATGGGACCAGCCCTGAATGGTAAAGGGGGGGGTTGAGAGGCCTTTTCGAGCCCAGCAAAAAGGGGGTCAAACTGAGTTTGCGTCTGCCGTCAGCGGCATTGTGTGGACGCGATATGACGGAGGCAGAGTGAAGCTGCGAGACACGACGGGGGTTGAAGCCCAGATCAAGGCCCGATCTGACATTCGGAGCATGGTGACGAGAGCAGAGTCCAAGGATCCTACCTACCTACCAGGTAGGTACCTAGTCAAGGTAGCTGGGCAGGTATCTAGGTACCTAGGTACTTAGGTAGAGAAATCGAGAGAGGAGGGAACTGGCGGCGCCTCTAAAACCCAGCAGAGTTCCTCTTCCCCCCCATGCCCGTCCAACCTGAGGTTACAGTAGTTCAGTCTTCAGTCTTCAGTCCTCAGTCCTCCTACCCAAACCCCCACCGCATCTTTGTCGTCCACTTGGCCGCCTCATTCTCTGCCCACTCCCGTTTCCCCGTTTCCTCTCCTTGCGCATCAATTGTCATGAGGACGGAAAAGCTGTCGTCTTAGCCCCCCGCCATTCGCAATCCACTGTGGCTCCCTTCTCAAGGCCCCAGTGATCGGGAAAGCTCAGAGGGCTTAGCGGATCTCTGTCATTGGCGTTAGTGGTCGCTCAGTGGGGACTAGTGCCACTTTTTCAGCGCCAGACGTCCTCGCGACTGCTCTCCCAGGGCGCCCGGCCACAGACCAAACAGTGTCCCAAGGCCTCCAGTGCCACTCCTGCCACCCGGCTTGGCCCCTTTCGGCCCCCTCCTGCCCTGTCGAGCTGGGTCCTCCTGCCTCCACCCGGGCCCAGCCTCCCGGCCCCTCCTGCTCTACTGTTTTAAGGTACCGGTACCTGCCCACCAGCCTTTGACACGAGGCACTCTAGGTATCCTCTGACCGCCGACCTTTGTCTTGCTCGGCGGGGTCTGAAGTGGGCTCCATCCAGCCTCCGCCCTCACTGACCGACTCTTCTCCCCCTTCTTCAACCGCATTTGTCCGCGCGACCCCAAACCAAAGCTCGTCCGTTGACGGCGACAGCTCCCTCTCCCGGCGAGAGGTCGAGATCAATACTTCAGCATTGTCGCTCGTCGTTGCCGACGCCAGAATCAGACTCAGACACACCCAGACCACGACAACCGAAACGGGCCGCTGCCATCATGGCCATCACTGAGACGGTCACCATCATCAACAACTCTGGCAAGATCATCAGCACCGTACGAACACCCCCCCCCCTCTCTTCATCCTAAACCCTCCACTCGCCCCGCCCACCGCCTGCATCGCACTACCTACCTACACTTTCAACATACCTAACACCACGTCCAACCGCACTGCACCGCACTGCACTGCACTGCACAGTCTTTTCCATGTTTCTGCTGCATACGCACTGCAACTGTCACATTTGGAA